GTTTGTGTATTATATTTCGCCCAGTTGGAGTAATAACCAGCAGGGAAGAAGAAGTTAGCAGAACGAAGAAAAAAAAGTTACTTACTTGGCTCATTTTGATGAAATAACAAGTTCCCTAGCTCAAGCTGATTAATGTAACTGGTGCAGGCGATTACACAAACCGACGTTTGGATAATCCATTGCACTTTCTAAGATGTTTACGTCGAGCCCGGGTAATAAATACTTTCCCTTTGTACAGCCTATTTTAATTGTCTCATTTCTCTGCTTGTTAGCTTGATTAGTGAGTCCCTCAGTCTCTTAGGCTGAATGTCATTTTCATTCGCCTATATATGCAATAGAAGAACAGTCAGTAGAAAGAAGTTCTTTTACCTAGAATTTAAGGAAGGCTTTACAAACTTTTAGACTGGTAATCTTTAGTATAAGCTCATAATAGGTATATAAACTCAAAAGAATCTTACCTCAACATGGAAAATGTTCAGGACCATACCCCCAAAGGTGGTAATATTGACATCAACAACCTGCAAGCCCAATGAATCCATAGCCTCTATCGAGCTCACCACACCACCTTGTGTCTGCTTGCAGAATAGCTTGATTAAGAAATCTCTTTCATTAATTTGCATCACTTCCACTTCCACCTAAAAACATTTTAGTAGGGCATACGATTCAGTATTAGTAAGCACTCTTTCCTCTTAATGTTTGATTGGAAGGGTTATTTGGGAAGGAGCTTTAAAGATGAGGTCAAACTTTGAAACTCTACCTCCATAGGCTTCTCCTCACCAAGGATAAACATTGGTTGATCGTTCTGAACAAGAGGCCAATATATTGTGTCATCTTTGTTCTTCTCTGATGGAGAAATCTTCAAGTGTCTGTTCTTTTGACAGTCTTTGTGCTCCAATTGAACAAGTTCATTCTGGAGGTTTTTCACATTCTCTTCCAACTCTCTTATGTAGTTGATAGCATCCACAATGATCGATGCTCTATCCATCTATGGGTATCATCATACCAAAGACAGAAAATTAATAAACATAATCTAAACAAATTCACCATATGCTATTTGATAGTTTGTTTGAACCTTGGATATATTAGGGACTAAGGCGCGTAGCGCGTAGAGACGATCCCTAATCTTGTTTCTTCTCCTCCTCTCTGTGATAAGATTTTTGGATTTGTAAATTTCCTTTCCTTGTCTCCCTCCTCCAGTTTTGGCTTCATCTTTCTGCAAGAACTTTGAATAATCCGAAACCACATCTCTTTGTTGTTCAAGCAAATCTTCCTGGGGCGTTGGCCTCTTGGATTCAGAGGACCTGTAAATTGGTTGGTTGAAGAATCCACGTGAAACCAAACTTGAATAGGAATCAAAGTAGTGATGCTCATTGGAAGGCTTTGAGCCACTGGATGATCCTTCACAGCTAGGAAAGGAGTTGGACTGGGATACTGAAGGAAGAATTTCTAACTTGGATTTGAAATCAAGCAAGGGCTGGGGATCAGGCCAGTCTACTGAATAGTACTTGGTACATGAATCAAGTCTTTTCTCATTTAGGTCAGCGTCCAATTCACTCTCTGTATCAAATTCTTGCTCCAGAGAGATATTACAGTGAGCCATTACAAAGTCTATAACCTCTCTGTCTCTCGGCATCTGAAAGAGATTGCACCCAAAATATGAAGAGAAGTTGTTTTGGTAGCACAAATATAGTCCATGTTCTTACTCGTAGTTCCTAGTTCTTAGTTCTTACATGTTTTGTCGCAAAAAGCTCCACAATGCCAGCAGAAATTGGTATTAGAACACGAGTTCCAGTCAACTCCTGCCAAATAAGATGGCATTGCACAGAAGTTAGTCAAAACCAAGCAACCCCCAAAAAGGAAGGAAAAAAAAAAAAGAAGAAACCCACATGTGAAAAGCTTGAAGTAGAAGAAACTTCAGCACTAGTAAGCCACATGGGTTGGTTCGAAACCAAAACATCTCCATGAACCCTGCGATAAAACACGAATTTGAAGAAATTTTCCCAGCAGTTCTTCCATAATCATCTTAGTCTAGAAGATTAACGAACAGTTTTAAGTTCTAAGTAGCTACCCAGAGTTCAATGATATAGTAGAAGGGAACTGAGCAAGTGCTTGGCAAGCATTTGTTCTCCTAAAATGTTGAAATCGAGTGTCCTTACAAAGGGTAGCTGGGATTGTCTCACCGGCTTCCCTTTTCCCACCGGCGTCGAAACTTCCACCGCTACAGCAGCAACCTACCCAATCAATGAACCTACAAACAGCAGCCCAGCCGTCCACTAAATCTAAAACACACCATTTTCGATCAAATCAGAGAAGAGTGTAATACCTGGAAGAATCATCCCTCGATCTCCAAACAATGCAATAATCCCAGACTTTGGTTTCCACGAGAGCCCTAAGACACTCCAGAGCTCCCTCAAAGCCTCTCATAATCTCTGATTCTCCTCAACTGAAGTGAGTGTATAAGTTGATGAAGTACAGGAGGAGAAGGGTAACTAACTAACATTTGATTCGGAAAGGGGAAAATCAGAGTCAGTTTTCGAAAACAGAAATCTGATTCTGCTTTAAGAAGAAAGAGAAAAAGAGAGAGAGAGAGTTTTGACTGAGCAGTGAGAAGAGAAACAGAAAACCATGGAATCGAATGGTTGAAATGAAAGGTACCCATAACCATAACTGCTGCCGCTGCTGCTGCTGCTGCTGCTGGTGCAGTTGAGTAGAAAGAGAATGATATTCGATTTAAGGGCGCATAGGGGTTGAGGGAAGGCTTCTGAAAATGGAAAATGAATAGAGTGGATTGGAGTGGACCGTACAATGGTGTGGCGACGATCCTGCCCATTTTCTTCTTCTTCTTGTTCTTGGTAGTATTGATTTTGAAAGAGTACGTACCAACTCTGTGTTTGTGCAGTTGCAGCAAGAGTCGCAGAGAAGCTCAATCATATGTTTGTGTAAAACAAAAGGACAATTACTAACCACTACCCTTTCCAACGGTTCCTTATATACTCAACAACTCATTCCTACCTAATTTAATTCGCCTAAATTAATCAAATTATACTTCATATCAAAAAAAAATATTATAAAAGTTCCAATAATATTCTTTTTAAATATTCTCATTCCATCAAAACCATTAATATTTCATGAATTATATCCAAACTTTTTAACCTAAGTATTTTTAAAACTAGTAAGTATATTTTTTAATTTTTCAAAAATATTATTTTTTTTTTAAATTTAAAATATTAATAAAAGTTTTGAAAATTGTAGAGTATTTTTTAAATACTTTTAAAAGTTTGAAACAAGGTAACTTTTTAGATTTTTTGTTTTCTTTTATAGAATTTAAGGGTGTTATTAAAGCTTTTAAAGTGATGTAATTTTTATTAATTTAGTGATTCAACTAATATAATACCAAAAATCACAAATATTACTTTTAAATAAATACAGCAAATTTGGTGGACATACGACATATATTATTATTATTTTTTTTTGTAAAACTTAAATTCATTTCACGACGTATCATATAACATACACACAATTCATTAATGAGCATTTAATATGAGTACAATATTTCGATTTCGATTGCTCAAATAATGAGATAGTTCAATTAACAAAGAGTTGAATTGATACAAAAAGAAAAAAATACTCACCTGACTAACAAAAATTTGGGGGTCAGGAGAAATTACCCAAAGGTAAAAAATGTAAATACATTTTGAGGAAAGGATGAATATTGGAATTTAATAAAATAAAAAGTTGATAATAAAAAATGGAAACATTAGGTAATAATTTATTATTTCCCTTTTCCACTTACTATTAATCGAAAATTATAAGGGTAAAAAGATTTCTGATATTTTTCTTCCGTACTGCACCTCGCACGTGCGAGGCGAAGGAAGGGACTGGAGCGGCGACTCTAATTTTATTATTGGGCTTGGGCTAAGAGATTCAAATTGGGCCTTTGATCAATCTCTCCGTATCCAAAATTCTTAAGGTAAATGGTCGGGTTGGATTGGGTCGATGGATTTTTTTTACCATTTTGGTTGGTTGGATTGGTGAACTAACCCAATCCGAAAATTTTCACAATCCAACTCAACTCAACCCTCTGTTTTCGAGTTGGATTCGGGTTAGGTTGTAAGTTGTCAAAAAAAAAAAATGTTAGAAGTTTTATTTATCCACAATTTATAGTTATTCGGATACCATCTTAGATAAAATATATTAAAACTTCACCAACAAATCTATCTATAATTATTCACATGTTGTATCCTATTAACATAGTTCAACATTGTCACAAAATTAAAAACAGCTAAATATCCGTTAAAGTAGGAAAAATATCAAGCGAAAATAACATATTAACATAGTTCAACCTTGAAGACAACTAAATACCTTCTTGACAATTACAACTAAATACATCCCCGAGAATTGGTGAGAGTAAGAAAAATATAAAGATAGATCATCAAATTAAATAAACCATAACAATAATTATTTGGAGGATGTTATATATAACAAAAAAAAAAAAACGGTAAAATATTTTAAAATATATATATAAAATAGATCATAAAATTAAATAAATAATAAAAATAATTAGTTTAAAAATGTATATAACAAAAATAAAAATACAGTAAAATGTTTTAATTGCATGTGACAAAAAGAAAATATTAACAAAAAGAAAATGTATTATCTTAGCGATGAACTCTAGCATGCATCTAAGGTATCACACTTGTTAAACTTATTTATACATAAAATTTTTTAATATAATTTATATATTTTTATTTGATTTGTTCAATCCTAACGTTTTATCTACGGATGGAAAGATTCTGTTTAGAATCAGAAAAAATAAACTCAACCCTGAAATGTTAATCCAACCCAACCTAACCCAACCCTTTTAATTTGAGTTGGGTTGGTCCAGGTGTCAGGGTTGGATGTACACACCTACCTTCTTATATAAAAAAAAAATAAAAATAAATGTTATTGGATGAAGTTTAATTAAAGTTCTTCCACCTCCCTCCCTTATTCCCTTGTTCGAATTCGTATTCTCTGGCTTTATTCCAAACCCATTATTTGTTTGGTTACATTAAAACACGGAAGAACAAGAACATCTGTTAATTCAAGACGGCGTAAGCTTGAAGATATGCCACCCAATAGATTTCAATTCATTTACATTTCTACTTGGAATTCAAACGGCGTCACAGATTTGTGATTGAACTGAATGAAGAGCTTGTAATTAGATCGAGAGAGAAAAAAAAAAAAAAAAAAAAAAAAAAAAAAAAAAAAAAAAAAAAAAAAAAAAAAAAAAAAAAAAAA